CCACAAGGGGTATTTCATGCAGGGGCCCCGTGGTTTCTAGCTTTCCCTTGGAAAAATAGTTTATTTCTGATTTCCTTATAAGAAGTTTTAGAAAATCTTGCATAATCATTAGATATTTTAAACAAACCTCACATTATAATAGTTGCCTACTAATTTTCACACCATATTCAATCTTATGTAGTTATAAAAATTGTTTTTTACATTAACAATAAGTTTTAACATTAGAGATAACCCCGCTAGCTAAAGTTTTAGCAATTCAAGTTTAAGATTGTAAGCAACATTCCATGTAGTTTTAGTCAAGGACATTAAGGCCTTTAGAAAGCAGCTTAGAAACAGTAAAAGGCAGTGGGAGTGTAAGAACAGAAGTAAAAATCTGATTCGAGGTTTCGAGAAATTGTTAGTATAAGAGAATTACTGCTTTGTTCTTGACTATGAAACCTTAGGGTACTTTTATGCTCTTGTTTTTATTGTTAAATCAATTATATGTATGACCAATTATAGTAAAAATTATGTTTTTTATTGTGAGCTGTAACTAATGAATCTTTAGAATGTAATAGATGTTGGTAAAGTTAGAAATTAAGATGTAGAACTTATTTCAATATTAACCTGACATTTTAAAGAGGATTAGAGAAAAACAAATCAAGGCCAAACTAGACATTTTAGGGTGGATTAGAGAGAAAAAGAGTCGCTTACAGAGGACAGACGTTATCGGAGTGGCTAGGGAGTGTAGAAACGCAGGAATGTTTGATGACCTTGTGTTCCCTCTTGTACCTTTGATGTAAGAATATAATATTTGATTGATTTGTAACTGCTTGTACGTGACAATTGTGAGATCATAGTATATTTTAAATGGTATATAAGAAGCAAAAATTTTAAGTAAAGTGTGAGTGAGAGACTCATCATCACCAGCATCTGCCTGATACTAAAAAATGACCCATTGACACTGTGTGTTTTTTCACCAAATCCGTGCCTCCCTCCGAGCTCTCATAAATTGTCGAGGCTGGTCCCTGGCAATCAGGAGAGAACATCTTGATTGTATCTTGATTATATCAGGATTGTATCAAGATTGACATCGAAATTTAAAGTGACAGTATCAACATAAAACCAAACAGCCACCACTAGTCTGTCTGTTGTGCTGTGGTGGCTTGAGTTGCTGTGATTCTGAGGGCTATGCCACCACTATTTTAAATAACCAGCAGGGTCACCCATGGTGGACAGGTTTCAGATGAGCTTCCAGACAAAGACAGACTAGGAAGAAAGAGTAACAAATTACTTCCGAATCGCTAGTCACTGAAAACTCTATGAATAGCAGAGAAACATTGTCAGATACAGGATGGGAAGGTGGGAAGGCACTCAGAATGTGACTGGGGAAAAAAATGCCTCCTCAAAGTAGAGTTGACCGGGATGACATGAATAGAGTTAAGCTTGGGGGAGAAAAGCACACAGAACCTTCATTTGCTGATGAGCCACAACTCAAAATGAAGAGAAACAGCCATAAACATCCATTGAAAATCAGAAAAAGGAATGTACGGAGTATGAATCTGGGAAAATTAGAAGTTGTCAAAAATGAAATGGAATGCATTAACATCAGTATCTGAGGTATTAGTGAGCTGAAATAGGCTGGTGTTGGCCATTTTGAATCTGGCAACCACATGGTTTACTATGCAGGGAATGTCAAATTGAAAATGAATGGTGTTGCATTCATTATCAAAAAGAACATATCCAGATCAATCATGAGGTACAATGCTGTAAGTGATAAGATAATATCCATCACCTACAGGGAAGCCCAGTTAATACCACTGTTACTCAAATTTATGCACCAACCACTAAAGCCAGTGAGGATGAAATAGAAGAATTCTACCAACTTCTTCAATCTGAAATTGATCAAACATGCAATCAAGATGTATTGCTCATTACTGGTGATTGTAATGCAAAAGTAGGGAGCAAAGAAGAAGGACTATAGTCACTGTATTGAGGGTTTCCAAAGAGCAGCACGTGGTTTTGAACCACCAACCTTGTTGATAGCTGTGTAGTACTTATCCTACAGAGCCACACTAGGATCCCTAAGACACCAGTATATTGTATTATATAAGCTGCAGCCTTTGTACAGAACATAATAATGTAAAGACAAAGGTGAGCAGTAAATTTTTAATTAAAAAAAGAAAGCTTGTAAAATATTAAGCTTATTTTCATACATTTGAAATAGTTATTTGTTGATGTTGTTAGGTGCCATTAAGTGATACAAAATAACACAAATACATACTCTATGGGATTCCAAAGTAATCTTTTTTCCTATTTAAACAATATATAATTGTGTTTGTTTCTACAGCCTTATCTATTCCCATACACTCAGCACAGCTGCAGGAAGCTAACAAGTTTCTCTAGGGATTGAGATCTCATTTTTACTAAAGCCTTGAAATATACAATATGACACATAATCTGAGCTCTGTGTAACAAATGAAAATTTGTATGATTTCAACATCGTTTTATGTCAGTACGCCTGCCTGTGCCTGAGAAGAGGAAATGATCAATGAATATGATTCAAATGGAAGAAACAGGATTGGAGCTCAGGAATCACTGCCTCCAGCAACATCTTTACCTCAATTTAATTTCTGCAGATTGTTGCTATTACAGAATCAACACAACTGTAACAATAAATATTGAGTGAATTTGAATGATTAAGAAATATATCTCAATGTCCTGTATTATTATTTTTATTCCTTCTCTTGCAAGACTCAATTTTCTCATCATCTTTTGGAAACTCTTTTTATTAGCAGACACGAACACCAATCTCCAGATTAATTTTCTTGCCACGTTTTGGAAAAATCCTTTTAAGAACTTTTCTTTTCTCAAAGGTAAAACTACAAGCTATTATTATGATTTTTAGTTGTTCCAGGGAAATTAGGCTCTAGAGGTGTTTTTGAATTGCAAAGTATATGATTTTACAATTTCTAGAAATTGTGCTGCTTATATTTATCAAGCAAGTAAGTGTTAAAGAATATGTAGCAGAAGTGGAAACAGTATTAACATTGTTATTTTGCTGAGTTACTTAATATTCATCTAAATAGTGACAATTTCTGAGAATCAAGGAAACTTGTGGGAAAGAAGTGTGAATCAGACCTATTTGTATTGATTTATCGTTAACCCCATCACTAACTTAGTGCATCCTTAGTAAGGTGTTAATACTCTTTGTAGTGTATATATATATATATTGTTGTTAGTAAGCATCCTTAGTAAGGTGTTAATACTCTTTGTAGTGTATATATATATATATTGTTGTTGCTGATATGTGCCGTGAGTCAGTTCCGACTCATAGCGACCCTGTAACAGGGTTTCCGAGGCTGTAAATCTTTATGGGAGCAGAAAGTCTCATCTTTCTCCCACGGAACAGCTGGTAGTTTCGAATGCTGACCTTGCCGGTTCACAGTCGGATTTGTAACCACTATGCTACCAGATACATATATATTATACATAATTATTGCATCATGATAAAAATAGAACCTAGTTCCTAGAGCTATTGTATAAATTAAAAAAAAAAAAAAATCAAACCAAATAAGGTATTTGTAATAACATTGGTTGGTTATTGGTTATGTGCCGTGGAGTCGGTTCTGACTCATAGTGACCCTGTACAGGGTTTCCGAGGCTGTAAATCTTTACGGTAGCAGAAAGCCTCATCTTTCTCCCGCGGAACGGCTGGTAGTTTCGAACAGCTGACCTTGTAGTGCACAGCCCGATTCATAACCACTAATTATATATATATAACAATATCAGAGGAGAGAGGAGTCCTGGTGTGGTGCTGTGGTTTAATGCTCTGGACTGCAAATTCTTTTGAACGTCAAGGTCCAACTGCTTGGAAACCCTATACAGGGTCACTATGCATTGGAACCAACTCGACTACACTTAAAAACAACAACAGTAACAATAGTATCAGAATGCTGTAGCTGTTAGCTTCAATACTATAACATTAGTATTATTTTGCTATTGTTCAGGATGAATGCTTCCCTAGTGTTTCTTTTAGTTTCTTTCTACTATTACTTGTCACCTGCAACTCTCCCATATTTCAAGTCACAAAATTTAGAGACACTAACAGGAAAAATGCTAAAACACAGTAAACGTATGGGTGTGTGCCAGTGAAATAGTAGAATACTAAATACACACAACTCTGAAGGCAAAGGATGATGGGTTTAGTAAAAACTAAGAGTCTAGCTTTAGACTTTATTTAAAAGATTAGACAAACCTATGATTTGAAATACAAATTTTATTTCTGTGATTTGATTCCTTAAAAATATAAAATGGAAGAGATTAATATAAGAAATAGCTCACTTATTCCTCATAAAATGTTTGTTTCTTGGTAAAAGTTGTTTCAAATATAATACACAAAAATGCATCTTTGTTTTTCTATGAATATAAAATGTATCCTTATCTAAACATACATACACCTCTAAATGATGTATGTATGCACTGGGAAAATGTATCATAGGCAAGTATCCCAATTTTTCCTTCATTTCTGCCACTTACTGGATTTAACAAATTTATAACGTACAGTTCTCAAAATTATTAAATAATTATTTAATAACTTAAACAATTTCTAAGGAGCTTTATTATTTGTCTGCAATGAGAGAAACATATTGTTAAAACCCTAATCATTGTCTCTTCTCAAAGACTTGCAATGTACGCTTTCGCAAAGTTTTTGTAGGAGTAACAACACATAGTGTATCCATTGTTTGAATGTGCATATGTGTTTATGTGTGGGTTTACATGGAAACTTTTAGAATTAGAATATGAATTTGCTTTATTTCAATATGTGAAAGTATTTTTCAAACTTCAATATTACCTAATATAAAAGTGTTATTAAAAAGATGTAATTAACTTGACTTGTATCCTGACTCATAACTGATAGTGTAAAAGAATTAATATATATTCTTTTATTTCATAATATGTTTATGGCCTCAAAAGATATTTCTTCTCTCCATATCAACAGTTTAATACCAGTCAACAAGATGACTAAAGAAAATTCAAGCCAAATCACAGAGATGGTCCTTGTGGGATTTTCCAATCATCCCCATACTGAGATCCCCCTCTTTTTCCTCTTCTCTCTGACATACATGGTGAACCTTTTTGGAAATACTATGATTATAATTTTAGTGGTGATAGATTCCTGTCTCCGGACACCCATGTATTTTTTTCTTTGTCACTTGGCCTTTCTCAACATTTTTTACACCACAGCTGTGGTCCCAAAAATGCTTTTTAACCTTCTGGCTTCTAAGAAAGTAATCTCTTATGACTTTTGCCTTGCCCAGACTTACATCGCCCTGCTAATGGGAGCAGCTGAGTGCATTATTTTGGCAATCATGGCTCTGGACCGTTATGTGGCCATTTGTTATCCTTTGAGATACCTGATCATCATGAATTGGTCTGTGTGTATGCAGCTTGCTGGAGGTGCCTGGACCATCAGCTTCTTTGCTTCTGTAGTGCCCCTCTACTTTACTACAGCTCCCATCTGTGGTCCTTATATCATTGACCATATTTTTTGTGAAGTGCCTGTTTTGCTTCGTATGGTTTGCGAGGATACATCTCTGCAGGAGCTAATGATGGTTATAGGAGCAGCTGGTACCCTATTGCTTCCTTTCCTTCTTATTGTCCTCTCCTACCTACGCATTCTGGTAGCTGTGATGAGAATGCACTCAGCTGAGGGTAGGAAAAAAGCTTTCTCTACATGCAGTTCCCACCTAACGGTGGTGACCATTTATTATGGGACGGGTATGTTCATGTATATGAGGCCCAAATATCTGTATTCAGCTGAGGGTGATAAATTTATTTCCTTGTTCTATGCAGTCATCAATCCTGCTTTGAACCCTCTAATCTATAGCCTGAGAAACAAGGAAGTACAAGGAGCCATGAGGAGAGCCATAGAGAGATGGAAAATATTCCAAAGGCAAATGATACTATCTTAAGATGTTATAGGAAAAAATTTGTAGACCATGATGAACTGTTCTATAGAGTGCTGGTGTGGCAATGTAGGTAGGATAAGCACTGAGTCACAAGGTCAGTTTGAAACAAAAGGTCAGCAGTAGTACAAACTCACCAATTGCTCCTTGGAAAGCCTATACAAAGGATCACTATGAGTCAGAACCAATTCGATGGCACTGAGCAACAACAATGATAGTAATAGATAACAAAATTAGCTACAGACATATTGCTTGTTCTGTGACAAATTACTGTAATTATATTGGTTAATTATTCTCTGATATGACTATACTCTGATCCACTTTGCCATGACTTATTTGAATGAATTCTACTTTTCTTCAGAATATTTCTTAACTTCTATAATTTAGAAGCTCTTGTGGTATATTGCTTAAAGCTGTTAAATGAAAGATTGGCGATTCAAATCCACCAGCTATTCCACAGGAGAAAGTTGTGGTAGTATGCTTCCATAAGGATTTACTGTCTTGGAAACCCTAAGGGGCAGTTCTACTCTATCCCATAGGGTCACTCTGCCTTGGAATTGACTTAGTGGTGTATTTTTAAATCTGTGGTGGTTATGTGTCGTGGAGTCGGTTCCGACTCATAGTGACCCTCTGCAGTGTTTCTGAAGCTGTAAAGCTTTACAGGAGCAGAAAGCCTCATCTTTCTCCCACGGAACAGCTGGTAGATTTTAACTGCTGTCCCTGAGGTTAGCAGCCCAATTCATTTCAAATTTGGCATAGACTGAGTGTAGGATAACCAAGGAGGATACTATGTCATATGACTAGTAAAATTAGAATAAGAACTTAAATCTTATAAGGAAAATGAGCAATGAAATATGGAGTTAGAAAGACTGGCTTGAAATTATGATGTGGTGCTGTAAAATAAGTGCTGGACTGCAATGTCATTTAGAACTGCAAGTTAAGAAGTTCAGATCCATGACCTGTTCCTCTGAACTGACTCAATCACAGTTAACAACAGCATCATATTGAGCTTACTTGTTTTTAGAGTTTATTACAGCTTTAAATATACAAACAACTCTATATATTATATATTTAAATCTGTAATACAGCCTTCATAACGTTTCAGAGGAGCAGCTGATGGACTTGAATCATTGGTCTTGCAGTTCAAGCCAGCCTTGTAATCCATTGCATTATCCTGCAGTATCACTTAATTAATGGTATGTTCTCACCTTTTTATATTTAAATGTGATATTACATAATTTCATATAGTTTCCACTTTAATTGCTCAATATTGTGTGTTGTTCATTTTTTGTCAGTATGGAAAAACTCAGCCAGTATGGTGATTCAGAATAAATAAATAAATAAAATAACAAGAGTCTTAAGTTTAGAGCTCTGGTAGCATAGTGGTTACGAATTGGGCTGCGAACCTCAAGGTCAGCAGTTCGAAACTACCAGCGGTTCCGCGGGAGAAAGATGAGGTGGTCTGCTCCCATAAAGATTTACAGCCTCAGAAATCCTGTACAAGGTCTCTATGAGTCAAAATCAACTCGACAGCAGTTAACAACAACAACAACAAGGTTAGAGTACTCAATACCAATATGAAAATCATTTATGCCTTGTTTTTTTATTTTTAAATTTTTATTTGGAAGTGAAAAACATTTATCATATGCATATTGAGAAGATTACAAAGTAAGTTTTACATGCATAAAATTAGTCAGTGTCAAGTCTCGTAGTCTATAAGATTCTGAATTTTAAAGTATTTTTATTGCTCTAAAGCAAGGTATTGCACATTAAACATTTTTATTACAACATCTCCAGTATTTTCATCAATATGTTTTATTCTAGGATTATTGAAATGTGAGTTTTGTTTTGCTTTGCAAGGTACATTTGTCTGGCAGTTTCTGAATATTGTGGAATATCTGATACCATCAATCTTAGGCAGTAGCTAGCTAACTGAAGATTCTTCAATTAGATCAACAACTCTGTTTCATTCCTTTCACTTCTGGTGAAGCTCTTGAGATTTATTACTGAGATTCTAACTTTTAATAAGCAAGTTCTCCTCTGGGATCAAACTCTGATAATCAAATGAGATTTGTGTTGAAAAATAATATATCTCCTGACTTAGACACTTTTTCTAAGGATTAAGAAGTCTACTTTTGGTAACTTTTCATAAAACAGATCCTAATTCTTTTAAACAGTCCCTCAACAGCAAACTCCAACACACCTATATGCATGTGCACACACATACACACACCTTTGCTTTAAGAGGTTTCTTCTTAGTTTTGGGACCACAGGGAAATAGCAAAACTCATGCAAGGCACTGATAAAAGAAGGGAAGACAGAACTAATTATGTTCAATAAATATATTGTTACCCAGCAAGTAAATTATTGGCTTATATATAGGATATCTGCTTATACTATTTCTCAAAGTAGGGCACTATTGATGAAAAGAAGCACTATTTGTAATTTACAGGCACAAGATATGGAACCCAACCTTTCGAGTTGGACAACTGAGATTATGATATACTACACATATGTGTAAAGAGGCCTGGGTGGCACAATAGTGTGTTATGAACCAGTAAATTAAGGTGGGCACTTTGAATGCACCCAGCAGGGCCATGGAAGAAACACCTGACTACCTGCTTCTGTAACAATTATAACCAAGGAAACTCTATAGTAATCATGTGATTACTGTGAGTTGAGGATTTCCTTAATGGCAAATAACAGCATAATATGCAATCTAACTTACAAGATGATATTGTTGTTACTAGTTTCCACTGACATCCTTCTCCAATGATTGTTTCCTCCGGACTACATGTCCAAAGTAGGAGAGACGAAGCTTAGCCATCCTGGCCTCCAAGGAGCACTCTGGCTGCACTTCTTCCAAAACAGATCTATTGGTTCTTTTGGCAGTCCATGGCACCCTCAGTATTCTCCTCCAACACCACAACTCAAAGGCATCAATTCTTCTACGATCCTCTTTATTCACTGTCCAGCTTTCGCATCCATATGAGTCCGGAGGAAACAATCGTTGGAGAAGGATGTCATGCTGGGTAGGGTGGAGGGTCAGAGAAAAAGAGGAAGACCTCCAACGAGATGGATCGGCCAGGTGGCATCATTGATGGACTCGGGGGTGGCAGCGGTGGTGAGGTTGGCCCAGGATCGAACATTGTTTCGTTCTGCTGTGCATGGAGTCGCTATGAGTCGGTTCCGACTCGATGGCACCTGACAACAACAACAACAGTTTCCACTGAGTTAATTCTAACTCATGGTGAACCCATGTGTGCAGAAAATAACTGATCCACAGGGATTTCAAGGCTATGACCTCTCACAAGGAGATCACCCAGAGCAGCTTCTGGGTAGGCTGAAAACACAAAACATTTTTCTAGTAGTTCTGTGTCTAACCCAGGATAATAACACACAAATATATATTTATGATAATTTCTACTTTGTTGGTGTACCAAATAATTTACAGAATCCATCCATTAAAAAATTGTTGCTTTCATTAAAAATATGCATTTGACTTTGATGGTTTTTATTGCTGTTAAGTGCCAGCTAGTTGATTCTGACTCATGTTGGCCCTGTGGTAATACATTTTTTGTCTAGTTTGTACAATTTTCCTATAATTCAGTCAAATAAATATAGATATAACCCAGTCAAATATAGTATAGCATTTGCTGTTCATAGTACATGTTTTCACCACCTGTGCCTAATTATTATTCTGTCATACTTCACAAGATTTTTTTCCTACAAACATTGTCAAAAACTTAAACTACTAAGTTTGTCATCATCTTAATTTTGTAATACAAAAAATCACTTTTTGTGTGGGGATTTTATAAAACAAATATGAAATTCAGAATGAAAATGGGGTCACAGACTGTTCATTTTGAAAATATGTTTAACTGGTAACTGTCACAAAATCTTGACTTATAAAAACATTCTGAAAGAAGAAACATTATCAATAATGTTTGAATTCCTTTTCTATGTATTCCAATCATCTGACATGTTTTACATAGAAAATAAACAAAACCAAAACATGGTGTTCTTCATCTTCAATTGTTGTCTTTTTAAAAATTAATTAATTAAATTATTTATATTTTAACTTTTCATTGTGAATTGACTGAAGGTTTACAGAGCAGATAGTCATTTTTATATCCAACAAATTTTATACTTAATTTAATTTCAATGATTGGAATTCCATCATTTTAACATTACTCATCCTACTTCTTCCCTGTGATTTTTGTTTTATTTCTTTTTTTCCCAACCCTGCTGAATTTTGTACTGAGATGAATGCTTCCTTTTGATATTGAATGGTTGGTCATTCAATGATGTGCATATCTTATGTATAGGAAGCGCTGTACTTTGTAACTGAGCTCAGTTACACTGAGCTCACCATACGGGTGAGCTTAGTTACAAACCTGTAGTAACCAAAAGCCATAGTCTTTTTCTGATCAGTAAATCTGGTCCTTTTTTTATAATTTTGAGTTTTGTTCCACATTTTCTCCCATTCTATCTAGGATCTTCTAATGTGAATGCTTTCAGAGCATTTGCTAGTGGTAGCTGGGTACCACACAATTCTTGTTTGAGGGTCATGGAAACTGATGTTCATATATTCCACTAGTTCCCTGGACTAATTGATTCAGTACTTTTCTTTCCTCTGTACAGGAAGACACGAGTGGTTGCATGTTAGGTGACCAATAGAAATTTGTTCATTTCTTCTAAATTTGCAAAATTTTGGAGCATAATTCTTCATTGTATTCTGCTATTATTGTTTTATTTTCATTGACTCTGTTGTGATGCCAGCATGTAATTTATTATTCATGTTTTTTTCATTTTCTCTTTTTGTTTGGATTGGTCTTGCCAGTGGTTTACTGATTTTATTAATCCTTCCAAAGAACTAATTCCTTGTCTTCTTGATTCTTACTCTTGTTTTTCTGCTTTCTGTTTTATTTATTTCTGCTCTAAACTTTATTTCTTTTCCTGTTGTGGCTCTAAGCTTACCTTGCTGCTCTTTTTCTAACTGTTGG